GGTCCCCAACTTACACTGGTTTAACATATGTTTTTTTGTCTTTATCTAAAACTCTCGATTTATGATGAGTTTATCTGTAATTAACCCCATTGTAAGTGGAGGAGCACCTGTACTTGAACATACTCTCACCTAAATGCAGAAATAAAATGAAAAATATTTGGTGGAGGAGCACCTGTACCTAAACATGCTCTCACCTAAATGCAGAAATAAAATGAAAAGTATTTGATAACAGCAGTCATTATGGCCCAAGCAAAAAGAATCTGGCCACAGCTACTGGGGCAGGTCAGAAGCCCCTGCTGACTCAGAAGGTAGCTGTTTAGTTGCAGGTAGAGAGGAGAGGGTAATCTTGTGCAGGAACCAGCTAGTTGGGTCTTTCTACCAGCTGGTGGGGATAAATTGTCACATTTTAGCAACCATCCTTCTGAGCTCCAGCTAAGCACCAGCTTTGCCACAATGTACAAAACCTGTTTCCTTACTTACTCAGTGCTCTTATCTTTCTCTGGAGAATCCTCTACCTTCCCATGCTCAGTGTTGAGAAACTAAACTTAAACTTGCCACTCAAAGTAACTCAGTCAATTTCATTTTGGATAAAGTATCAGTCTTTGGGATTTCCACTCCCACTTTCATGTTCTCTTACAGCAGGGAACCTCTGGGCATTGGTGTGAGTTTATTTAACATGATGTGCTGTTCCTGCTGGCTCCTGCTGACTCCAGGAGAATCCAACCTCTGCCTTACAGCATTCCATAGCAGGAGTACCTCTTGGTGATGACCCTAGGCAGCACAAGCTATATAATTTGCAAGACTCAGTGCAAAATGAAAATGCAGGGCCCTTGAAAATCACTAAGAATCTCAAGACTGCAACAGCACATCATCACTAAGCCAAGCACAGGGGCCCTTCTAAGTGTAGGCTTTGGGCAGTTGTGCAGTTCCATGCCCATGAAGCCAGCTCTGACTACAAAAGGTCTTGGACTGTTCATCCTCCAGCCTCCAATACAGGCCCACCTCATGACAAACTGCAATAACTGCCGGCAGGCACATTGACTCATTCCTCTGCTATCTTCTTTGCCCCTGCTCCCACCGCCAGGGTCAGGCAGAAATTTCCAAAGCAAGTGTTCTCCTGCTCACCAGAGGAACTGTAGCAGCGGCGTCCTGTCAAGTTCTCTCTCCCTCCAGCACCACCAGTATATTTGCCCCACCACAGCCCCCCAGGCCTACATGGGACACCAGTGAGGCAGTCTCCTGCCACAATTCCAAAAAGAAGCACGCGGCACTCTCCTTTCCAGCTCTTCGTGGGGCGTGCTGAATTCCAACCTTCTTATCACAACTGGCCTGACTGGGTCCCACATCTGTCCTCCTTCTCAGGGTCTAGTCCAGGAAACATTTCATGGTCTCCAAACCTCTTTCCTTTCACCTTTTCAAGTCATGGTCTGCCCTTTCCAGAAGAGGAAGGGCATTCTTCTTCCCTTGCCTGCCTGGGAAGAAATGCCCTCATGTTACATTGTCTATGCTTTCTATATTGTGCCTCTTAAAATGAAGCTCTTTGTACCAACTCCTAAATTTTGCTTTTGGAATATAAAGGTTTTTTTGCGGGGGGACAGCAAACAAAACAAAACAACAAAAATATTCTCCCTCTCTCCCCCTCTTCTCTCAAAGCTGGGCTTCTGTTAAAAACTATTATCTCACTGTGAAATTTTTATTTTTAATCAATTTTTTATCTCAAATCTGAATATTGGCTTTTTTGTTCCAACTGATATTCATCCTTCCCCCAAAGCAATCATTGTCAATGAACAACACAAGAACGTTACATAAAGAAATCAAATAATGCATGTAAAATACTTAGAATAACAATGCATGTAAAATATTTGATAATAGTAATTGCTAAATAAACAATAGTTACCAATGATCATTACCTGTATTATTATTATTACTATTACCTATGTTATTAGGAAAACACCATTCCAGTTTCTTTGTCCCCTTGCCTAAATCCAGGCAAAATGACGTCTGTAAATTCTTTAAACTTTAAAATATATATAGCCTAAAGGAAAGCAAGGAATTTTTGTCAAGCAAATCATTTTGCATAGTAGGTTTGGAAAATAAACATCCACTCTTGCCTCTCTGGTGTTACCACATAATCGAAAAGAATTATTTTATTCTTCAGAACATCACATATATTAGATTAAAATGATTCATTCAGTTTCTGATATTCTATCATTTTTTGATCAACAAAAATGGCAATCTCATATGGTTTAATCTAAGAGTAGGATGGTCTCATTTTTATTAGTTCTCTTCCATTCATAGACTGAAAGCTAGAGAAGAAGTTGCTATGGTAACCCGAAGAACCAAACAGAATCACAGAATGAGAATGGGAGAAGCCTAGTCCAGACTCATCAATCTGCAAATGAGGACTTAAGGCTCAGAGAGGTGAAGTTGAGTTTCCCAAAATATCATGGCCAATTAGTGGCAAAACTAAGCTCTGTCTGTCTGTACTGGGCTTCTTCCCACCACACCAGGCTGCCTGCCTTCCTTCTTTATGTTTGTCAAAATATGTTAAGAACATCCCAACTTCACCGAGAAATCAGTACTCTGAGGATAATTAAGGCAAATATCAAAGGTTAGACACAATCTGGGGTAGAAGCATGTTTTTCAAAGACTTTTGATAACAATAATTAAACTTGTAAAAGGAGAAATGTCAAAGTGAAGGTGTTTGCTTTTTAGACATTATAATTTGGGGATGGTCCTGAAGAAACTATTTTTAAAGCTCCCTTTACATGACCCCACTCTGAATTTGAGACATGTATTTTTCAGTGTTTCCTGAGCGAACAGCTTTTGTTCATGCTTTATTGTTATTGTTTCAACATTCTTAAAACCTCAACTTATTTGCAAGTATAATTCATAATTGTCTCTAAAATATTCAGATAAAATGTCAAACAAGACAAAAAGGAAATATTTTAAATAGTTCTAACTTCAGTTCCTCATACCCATTATAGTTTGCAAAGGAGAAAACATCACCAACTTTAACCTACCAATTTAAGTAATGAATACAATTCATGATTGTGTAATGTCATTCCTAGCAGCCATCACTGTGACTTGCTATTGCTGTTGCATTGCTATAGGCACTATGCTGGTGTCTCTACAGAATTAATTAATTTAATCTAGGTTGACCCTATGAGAGACGTACTGATAATCCCAATATGCAAACAAGGAAACTGAAGTTCGTAATGGTTCCATAATTTGCCAAGGTCACATAATGAGTGACAGCCAGCTGCTGAAGGGAGAGAAACAGAATCATGATGAATCCTACCTTCATACCAACCCATGGCCAAACAGACATCTGTTCATCTCACTCACCTATGTCCCAGCTGGGACAGTAGTGTCTAAATCATTCATAAGTCCCAGCTTTTGCATGGCAAGCTCTATTTAAAATATTCCATTCTATTTTCAGAATAAGTCATATGTCCCATGGGAAGTTCAAAAAATAAGGCCACTGCAACACAGGAATGCCAAAGCAATTGCCAAATCTGCAATTTACACCTCTCTCATTATTATTATCTCACATAGAGATTTAAAAATATGTCTTCACACTCTTTGATACTCTTCCCCTCAAAAAGTAGAACTGAATTTCCCAAACTTTGAGCTTGAGCTGTGCTCAGTGAACAAACACAATGTGATAAAAGTGACATTGTAAGACTTCCTATGCTAGGGCATAAAAAGAGCAGTGGCTCCTCCTTGCTTTCTTATGGATCTCTCACTCCAGGGAAAGCCAGCTGCCACATCATAAAGCACTCAAGAAGCCTTGTGGAGGGTTCCACGTGGATCTGATCTGAGGCCTTTTGCCATCCCAGAGGGGACTCTGACAGTCACAGTCCAGCCTTCAAATGACATTCTAACTGAAGCCTTCAGATGACATTCTAACTGCAGCCTTCAGATGACATTCTAACTGAAACCTTCAGATGACATTCTAACTGCAGCCTTACAACAGACCCTGATCTAGAATAACCCAGCTAAGCCACTCCTCAATTTCTGAACTTCAAGAACTGTTAGACAATGAATTTTTATTGTTTTAAGTTACTAAGTTTTGGAATAATTTGTTATAAGCAATAGATAAATGCCTTTATTCCTACATTATGCCTTTCTTATAACAAGGCAAAAAAGCTGAACTATCCATGGCTACAAAAGCTGCCATATCAGTAAGCCAAATATTCCCCTTGATCCAGGCATACTTAGAACACACCAAGAACGTAGGATACCTGGAGGGTACTCTCCTCAAGACCTTCCCTTCACTCGAAAAAAATGTAAGGTTGCTCCTTGACCAGGTACATCATGCCCCATACCTTGTGGGGTATGGAAAAGGAGAGTAATAATCAGACTGATAAAAAAAACAGCAAAGTTATTATCTGTAAGGTAAGAGTACTCTCTTTAAATGTCCCACATCTGTGTGATAACCATCCCTCTGTGAGAACATCCTGTATTGCAAAGTTCTATGCTTCAGCAATTGAAAATAGAGTATGTCCTTTAAGAGCAGGAAGCCAGTTATTTCTTTAAGTGTGTTATTTTTCCCTCATCAAATTGAAGGCAGTGAGTAAATGACACAGTATACTCAGTGAGCTTAAAGAGTAAAAATCTCCCTTTGGAAAAGTGACCATTGCCATACAAGGTGAGACACGGTCCTGAGCACTGAAAAATCTCAAAAACACCTAACAAGTGAAATGTCAACATCGTTCTAACATCATGAGACTAAAACGCATTAAAGCTCTTGTCAAACAGAACACATATTTTTTCTTCAAGCATTCATCAGAGGAAAACTCAACAGAGACTTCTAAAGAGCTAAGAAAATGGGAAGTGGTGGTCAGAGCCTCTTCCCATCTGCTCCTCGAACTCTAAGGAGAACATTACTTTCATAAAGATAATGTATTCTTTAGTAAAGTCAATTCATCATGTCCACCCTGACCCACACCACAGCAAGTTGCCAAGCCCAGGAGAATCTGAAGCGTAATGCTTACCCAGCCCCTTGCGAATACCAGTCTTGTCTTTAGATTGCTTTCTTTTCCCTCGATGCTCCAGGAAAGGAAGGCCTCCTATCGTTTCGAAACACAGTTTCTTGTTGATGAAGAGGAAGAGGACGGCCAGAAGAACAATAAAGACCCCAACAGCAGACAAGAAGCCAATGGCTTCAGGAGTGACTGGCGAGAGAACACAAAGAAAAAAATATTATCACAATGAGAGTGACCTAAGTTTCCGTTCTAACAAATTATGATCAATGCTATTCAGAATCTTTACTTTTGTTAACGAGAAATGAAAAATACTCTACAAATCCTGACTCTGGCTGACATCCCCCAAGACTGTGTACAGGGGAAAGGAAAAGGACTGTTGGCCAGTACATCCTGCGATGCTGGCTCCTTAGATGAGAGACATCTATACCTTTGAATGTGTAGTTTCTTCTACCTGGAGTACAACTCTTCTTGCTCCTGTCCTCAGCCCAATATTCAACTTCAAACACACAATAAAGAGAGAGTTCAATCAAATGGGTTTAGCTGGACATGGTGGACCAGTGTTATAAAAGCAAGTCTCCAAAAATGCAGCTGCCTAAAGCTTACACAATCATCACTTGAGACAAATTTTCAGATAGATATTTCCATCAATATTGGCAATTGGAGGAAAAGTCATTTCCTGGATACATTTTGCAAATCCAACTGTGCAATTTGATCATGGTTATCAACAGCAATAAGAAAATTAATAATTCATGCCATCCATATAAGAAATTCAAATTATAGTTTTGACTGCTAATATTTTAGAATTTTGGAAGATGAAATTGCATTTCCTCCTTCCCCTCCTCCTCCTCCTCCTCAGTATCGAAAAACTCGGCCCTTTAACTGACCTGGCTAAGGTCAGTACGCCTCAAAGAGTCCCAGCCATTGCATTCAGCTATGAGCATATATAACAGAGAGACAAGAGGAGCTAGTTTGGGATTTAGGAAAGAATCCTCTAAGGAAGTGACATTTGAGCCTTAGTAACATTCAGTAAAGACATCCAGAAATTAACTTGTATAAAGGGTTAGATTACAGAACAAATGTCATTAAGAATGATTCAAGGGAATTGGGTATACGTGAATATGCTTATGAAAATGAATCTCCTAAGAGCAGCTTTAATCATTGGGCAGGTTTAATATATGATGTAATAATACAAATAACACAAAGCCTTAATAATATGAAGGGATAATACTCACCTAACCTTACTATCCAGATAAATAGAGAAAAGATGAATCAAACCAATCCCAACACCTTGAAAAGATAAAGAAATAAATGATACTGCCTTACTGATTCAACCTAGTGGCAAGCCAATATAAGAACGAACAAAACAAAACAAAAATAGCAGGCAAGATAATAACTTTATAGTCTGCAAAATAATAACAGTGCCTGCTATCAAAACCAACACACACCATGAAAAATAAAGTATGTGCATATTGATTATGCCCCCTCCCTTCAGAAGCAGTACATTGTAGTAGTAGTTATAGGCAAGGGATCAGCAGTCACAGTGCTTGGTTGAAATGACACTACCACTTACTATCTGTGTGGCCTTCCACAAATTATTTAACCTCTTTGTGCTTCAGTGAGCTAAACTATAAAAGGAGAAAATAAACACAGCTACATCAAAGGTTAACAGAGGTAACACAAGGAAAGTAATCAGTGTGGCACTTGACAGAGTCCTTAAACAGGAGTAAACCATCTTTCTCATCACCAACTTTCCAGAGCTACTAAAATATCTAGGAATGATCAAATATGGGATGTATCAGCTGCTTTGTACTCAGTCTGAGCTCTGGATCCCATCCTCCTCCCCTCTCTAGCTTTTTGCCTTTCACTTCTGTGTTGTCAGCCACTCTCCCTTGTGGATGCTCTGTCTTTCTCATTTGCATGAGAAATGCACCAGGTGTCTCCCATCCTTTAAAATTCCCTCCTCACTACCACATGCTCTTCAACCACACCCCTTTATCTTCTTCTTTCCACAATCAACCATCTTCAAAGTGTTTTCTACACTCATCACCATTTTTTTTTTCTGAGACAGAGCCTTACTCCATCACACAGGCTAGAGTGCAATGGCACAATCTTGGCTCACTACAACCTCTGCCTCCCAAATTTAAGCGATTCTCATGCCTCAGCCTCTTGAGTAGCTGGGATTTCCGGTGTGTGCCACCACACCCAGCTAATTTTTGTATTTTTAGTAGAGACAGGGTTTTGGTATGTTGCCCAGGCTGGTCTTGAACTCCTGACCTTAAGTGATCTGCCCGCCTCAGCCTCCCAAAGTGCTGGGATTGCAGGTGTGAGCCACCACACTCAGTCTCATCTCCACTTTCTTACCTCTAAAGTTGCTGGTACTCTATACCTAGATTCCCACTGACCTCCTTGTTTCTAGCCTTGCCCCCTCAAGTCCATTCTCCACACAATAGCCAGAACAATCATTCTGAAATGTATAAGTCATTTCCTTTGTAAGTTTGTTCGATTGCCTTTCTAAAGCCTTTTGTAGCAGGTTGCGCTGTGTGGCCTCAGGGACATATGTTCACCATGAGTCTCAGAAGGTGACCCTATTTGGAATAAAGGTCTTTGAAGATGTAATTAGAGTAAGGATTTTGAAATGAGTTCATCCTATATTAGGGTGGTACCTAAATTCAATGATGAGTATCCTTATGAGACAGTAAAAACAGAAGGCACAGAGAGATGAAAGCCACGTGAAGCCCAGGGCAGAGGTTAGAGTTACAAAACCTCGAGTTAAGGAGTGTGAAGAGTGGCTAGCAGTCACCAGAAGCTAGGAGATAGGCACAGAACAGATTCTCCCTCAGAGCCTCCAGGGAACCAACCTACCAACACCTTGATTTTGAACTGCTGGCCTCCAAAACTGTAAGAGTAGATTTGTGTTGTCTTAAGTCACCAAGTTTATGGTAATTTGTTGCAATAACAACCCTAGGAAACTAATGCAGCATCCAATGGCATCCCATTACCCAGAGGACAAAATCTGAATTCCCTAACTCAATTTACAAGGCCCTTCATGACCTGGATACTGATTCCAGCCTTTATTGCTCATCACTCCCCAACATCAAACTCTTGGTTGTTGCTGTGTTCACCTATTTCTGTTTCCCCAAACGTAGGTCACACCTCCAGATCTTTGCATATTTCAACTCCCTGGGACAACTGCTCCTCTAGCTAATCTGATACCATGCTTCCTTTGAAAACCTTTCTTGTTCTTCTAGCCAAAGCTGGATGCTTCTACAGTGTGTTGCCACCTACCAAGCCCTTGACAGTTTCTTCAACCAATTTCAAATGTTAAATTTTAAATTTCATAAGAACAGGGACTATGTCTGAGTTACTCACTGTACTCTCAGCAGCTAGCATAAGGTAAGCATTCAATAGATAATTTGTTGCCTGAATAAATGTTGAAACTCTTCTGTGTTACAACACATTGGCCAATGTGCCTATCAGTGAAAACTCCTGGAAAGATATCTCAAGGGTGTCAGTAAAACTACCAACATAGGATATGATTTACGTTAATATAGGTCTTAGGAAAAACAGGCTTCATGTATAAGCAGAAACATCTGCATCTTATAATGTCATCAATTAATGAAACTAAATTTTTATTTTTGAATAAAGGATTTTTTTCCATCATAAAAGCAGCATGAAACTCATTACATAAAATCTGCAAAATATGGAAAAAGATAAAACAACTCACTACTAAGATTTTGTGTGCTTCCTTTCAGTCACTTTAGCTACTTGGCAAATATAAAATTGTAAAGACTTCACTGTTTGGGCTTATAAATATTTGTATTCATTAAAAAGTTTTAATTATTTTTAAATAAGTTAAAGAAAAAATAAGTAATTCATGCATAGAGTAGAATGTTTGGAAAATATTAGAAAATATAAAAATGATGATAATGTTCAATCTTATCACCTGTCACTTAAAATTTTAGCTTGGTAAATAATTTTTTCTTGACTTTATTTTATCATAATTGAGATACCATTTCATATGCTTATATTAATGAATTTAATGTAAAAACATTCACAGATTGAAGGTAATATAAAGAGATTATTCAATATAATCTTCAAAGACAAGAAAAAGTGTAGAAAATGGCCCCTATGTTACTCAAAATAACTCTGCTTTTTTGGAGAAGAAACATTTTTGTTAATAACAATTCTTGTAGTAATGGCTTAACTATGGATGGGCATAAAATTTTCAGGTAAGTCCCAATATTTTTTTCTTCCCAAAATTATACAGACATTGCTACATTACCTTTTAGCCTTAATGCTCCATAAATAAGTGTGATGATGCAGCTTACTTTTCGTTACTATATGGGCAACAGAATTTTTCAGTCTGTATGCTACTAGAACCTTTTCCTTTATAACATAAAAATTTTACCAGAATGTATTTTTCTATGAGTCTCTTTCGTTCATTTTTCCTGGAAGCCAGATTTCATCACATATCCATGGTTTGTTTTTTGTTTTTGTTTTTTTCCAAGCTTAGGAAAACTTTCTTCAATTGCATCTTCGGTAATTTCTTCTATTTCAACTGCGCTTGTTCCATCTTAAACTACATTACTATTTCTTCAGCTACAAACTTTCATTTTTCTCTGTTTGTTTTTTCCTCTACAATCTGACAGATCTTAAACATTCCCTACACATTTTCACTAAGTTAAAGAAGTTAAAACATGCTTATAACCACTCTGCCATATGCACTATTACGACCTTTGAATATCAGAGTCAGGGACAAACAGTGAAGATATGGTTTTTCTCCATCTTTCCAGGTTGGGGCAGGGGTGAGGGATGGGGAGCATTAGAAATAAGTTCAAGTCTAGCTAAGGAGAGAGAAAGCTTAGTTCAGTTAGAGAAAGGTTAGACAAAGGCAAGTTTGGTTATTTCAAAAGAGTTCATCATGTTTCTTCCAGAATCTATTAATTTCAATGTCATCTTTTTCTGTGCTTATGAGTACTTAGTGAGAAGTCTAAAGACATGCATGAAGGACCGTTAGCCATAGATATGTTAAACTGTAGATTAGATTATGTGCTTTCTAAATAAGTAGAGTGTCATAGAAATGACTCAGAAGGTGGCAACACAAGACTTACAGGATTGCCTAATCAGGGTTGCACAAAAAGTGCCCTGTTTAGACATGTTTAAAATTCCAAATATAACTCAGCAATTCC